TCTGTATGTCAGGATTTCGCCCTGTCGGGCTTCTGTCCGTCGGCATTCTGTATGTCGGAATTTCGCCCGGTCGGGATTCTGTCTGTCGGGATTTTGCCCTGTCGGGATCCCCTGATTTTCGGCTGTCGGGGTATCCCGTCGGGTTTATCGCTCTCGGGATTTTGGACTAACAGGATATGGCTGAATTGGTTCCAAATATGCATAGCCCGCACTTAGAATCAGAATCTGACGCGATATTCGAAGCGCTGCGGGAAGAAATCCTCACTTTCCCAATTCTCCATCTTCGTGATGCTGATCGCCCAGGGCTTATGCCTCATCGTATCATGCCTTCACTTCATCCTGCTGCTCGGATGTGCGCGCCGACGCGTGCCGCCCAAAAGCTGACGCTGAATAGATTCACGGCAAGGCATGGCCGCCCGCCCCGGCGCCAGGTAGCCATTTGCTCGATTCAGCTAATTAAAGGGGCTGTGACTAGTGATAATCCACCGAAGCATATTTCATTTTCAGGATGAGATCCAGATTGTCGGCTCGCCTCCCTCGTCTTCAGTGTGTACTGATATGGTGGAGCAGTTCACCGACAAGTCCGAGCACAACAAGGAAAACGAGAAAGAGGTCCAAGTCAGATAATTCAGCTAATTAAAGGGCTGTGACTAGTGATAATCCACCGAAGCATATTTCATTTTCAGGCTGAGATCAAGGTGATCGGCTCTCCTCCCTCAAATTCAATGTCTACTGCTACGGTGGAGCAGCTCACCGACTAAGTTCCGAGCAGAACAAGGAAAGGAGAAAGAGGCCCAAGTCAGTTAAATTAGCTAATTAAAGGGGCTTATTTACAAAATGTGAAATTCATAATGTCGAAATTTCACAATGTCAAAGAAATTTCATAATGTCGAAATTTCATAATGTCGAAATTTCGTAATGTCGAAATGTCAGAGATGTCAGAAATTTACATAAGCTAAAATTCCCAGTAAAGTCCCCGAATTCTAGGCAAAAAAATGTTGTCGTGAAATACGATAAAAAAGTAGAATGTGGAAATTTTTTTGGCGGTTTTACCAGTATATTAGCCTATGTAAATTTCGACGTCCTCAAAAAACCTCATTTGTGCATATTTCGACATTATCCTTTTTCGACATTATATTTTTCGACATTATGATTTTCGACATTATGATAAAAATTCAATTAAAGGGGCTGTGACTGAAGTGATAATCCAACGAATCATATTTCATTTTCAGGTTGAGATCAATCGGGCGCTTCGAAAGAAGATCCACGCTCTCCGAGGGCCCTGGAGCAAGTTCGCGGAAGCCAGCCGGTCAGTGTTCTTTTGATGGTACGAGGCGGTTTGAAAATTTCTTTGGAGCGAAAAATGGTATTTCCGGCTTTCAGGCCAATAACAGCAACAACATGCTGGAGTCGGCGAGACGCGACGTCGGTAGATGGCTACGAACGTGTGTGCGTGGCGAAGGCGTGCATCTGGATCTATACACTAAAGTAAGGCAACAAAAAGCAAATACCCACACACCAGTCTTTGTCCAAAGGAATCGCCTATCGATTTTTCAGCCCCTCTGCCTACTTTCCCTCGGCTGGTTGTACCTGTAGCGAACAACGAAAGACGAATCAGAGGTTAATCACCAATCGTCAGCCAAAGCATTTGTTTCAGTTGTTATCCGCGTGGTCCGAGTCGGAGGCGAAATTTCTCGAGATCGGAAGGGCCATTACGGAAGCTCGACCAATGGCTTCATCGATGGTAGAGAATTATGTTCCTGAGACGGTTCCTCTCTCTCTCTCTCTCTCTCTCTCTCTCTCTCTCTCTCTCTCTCTCTCTCTCTCACTCTCCTATCCCTCCCTCTCACTCTCTTTCCCTACCTCTCTCTCTTCCTCGCTCTCTCTGTCTCTCTTGCTCGCTCTCTCTCTATCCTCTCTCACTCTCTCTCCTCTCTCTCTCTCTCTCTCTCTCTCTCTCTCTATCCCTATCCCTCTCTCTCACTCTTTCCCTACCTCTCTCTCTTCCTCGCCTCTCTCTGTCTCTCTTGCTCGCTTCTCTCTCTATCCCTCTCTCACTCTCTCCTCTCTCTCTCTCTCTCTCTCTCTCTCTCTCTCTCTATCCCTATCCCTCTCTCTCACTCTTTCCCTACCTCTCTCTCTCTCTCTCTCTCTCTCTCTCTCTCTCTCCTATCCCTATCCCTCTCTCACTCTCTCCTCTCTCTCTCGTTCTCTCTCTCTCTCTCTCCCTCTGCGCACCGCATCAATTAATTCCACATCACCTGAAATTTTGCAGCCCGCGGTCATCGACCACACCACAGTAGGCCCGGATTTCGCCGCTCACCCGCACTGGCTGCAAACGGAAGCCGAAACGATGGTGATGATTCAGGAGTTTGATGTCCTTCCGATCGCCCAAGTCTACAGCGCTGGTTTTATGTTCCTTTACATCAGCCTCTTGTGCATGTTTTCAGAAGGCAACGGAAATCTACACCGAAATTTGGACGCTGGGCGACCCTGCAAGGGAACGCGTTAGGAAGCAGATTCCTGAAGATCGCCGCCTGATGACTGGCGGCTTACCGACCACCCCACTTGACCAAACTGCTCAAATACCAAATGTGTTTACCTATATTTCCCCAATTTCCTTTGCTTTTGATCGGTTTCTGTACGTGTGTTACACTCGAAATAAAGAGTTCCTGGGAAAACCGCCTACCAACACACTAATGAACAGCTTGTAAACTAGGCGCAAGCAAGTAAACCGCAAAGACACACAAAACACGCGCCAGTCGTACGCCGTGAAGCGGCCCTTTGTTCATGTACTTAAATTTTTCAAAAATAGGGCGCGCATGGGGGAACCATTTTTCCGGCCCAAGCCTATGTTTTTGAGGCTTTACCACCGACGGTAAAATTCTGGCACATCGGCATTTTGGGACAGAGTGAGAGCGAGAGGGAGAGAGAGAGAGAGAGCGAGAGAGAGAGAGAGAGAGAGAGAGAGAGAGAGAGAATGAGAGATTTTTTCGCTATTTAGCCGGCACTTGAACGTCATTTTCGACATTTTTTCGCAAACCCACTTTTTCGATCGAAGAGCGCTCTCAGTTTGTCAAAACCTCCTGAAAAGTTTATAACGAAAATTGCTAGTGATGTAATAGAAACTTGTTCTGGCAGACCCTTGCCCAAGATCGTCGATTTTCGAAATTCTAGAAATTTTGAGCTAGGGGTTCATGAGGTAGCCCATTCGAAAAGCACGTTTTTTTACCATTTTTAGAACGTTTTAAAGTAAACGATTTGTGGAACTTTGGGTATTAAAAAAGCTTGTAACTTTTTAATCTGAGGGGTCATGCAACTTTTGAAAACGGATTCGGAATCAGCAAAAAATTCTGCACAAGATGTGCTATCTCTCGTACGGAATTTCCATTTCGACCATAAGAGGGTTACAGTCAGAAAGATCAATTAGAATGTTGAATTAGCATGGCGGACGCCGAAAAGCTAAAGATCCGAAAAATCACTTCCATTATCTCCCACCATGGACGCCCTCGGACCGAGTCGAGAGGGGGTACGCTTTTCGCAGCGCATTTGTATACCTTATGCAAATCGCGAAATTTATGATAATTTTCCAGCAAGAACCCACCCGGACGGTGAGCAACTCGAACCAGAAGCTCCGCTACACAAAAGTGCGCGATGCCGTGGCGGGTGGCATGGCGTCTGTCAACGCCGAGCCGTTCTTCACAGCTTCATCGAGGAGCAACGAGACGTCCAAATATTTTGATGGAACCGGGTATAGAATCTCGGCTAGCCTGCCCTCCTTTTCCCAAAAAAAACGCTGCTAGTTTGCCCAAAATCTTTTTAGGCGACTTTCTTGTCCGCCAGGTGTTGTCCTGGAAGAACAACTCCAAGTCGACGCAGGACAAGGGCAGCATCATCGCCTTCATGACGTCTGGAAACAAAGAGATTGAAGAGGCAGGCTAGCAGAGACACTTCACGAAGATATTAGGTTGCCATCAGATACTCGCGTACCAACCGCGTCTACTACCTCCATGAATACTGCTTCAACACGGCGCAGGTGGAAGTTTCACCGAAATTGTTCCACTCTTCAAGCAGTTTGGCCTTGCGGGAGTGGAGGACCACAAACCCTCATATTGCTTCTGCTAGTACGCTCCAATTCAGCCTGCTAGTCTCCTACCACCGTGACTTCCACGTTTCGTTGGACCGCTTCGCCGACAAGTTCATCGTCACCCGGAGCGTCCGTCTCAACCAATACAGAGCGCCGCGAGATCTACCGCGAGCAGATCCAACGGTGAGCCGGGTCCTCGGGCGATCTCTGGTTAGCCTGCCCTACAAATGCCGGATTTGCATCAAGGCGCTGGGCGACGGCGCGTTCGGCGAGGTGTTCAAGGCCTACTACCGGGCCGGAGTATTTCTCCGCGTGCCGGTGGCCGTCAAGATCACGGGCGCCGATCAACGACGATATGGCGGCGCTGGCGTGCCGCCTGCTGTGGGCAGGCTAGCAGAGACTGTTGGAGGAATTTTTTTGAGGAAGCGCTGCTCATGCGTTCGCTTAAAGATCCCACCACCTGAACGTCGTCGACTTGGTGGCCATCGCCTGCTACGAGTGGCTGCTTGATGGCTCGTCCTCCAGCTGTGCCAGGGTCCGTCATCCCCCAAGACTTGCGCTAGATTGCCCTACCTTCAAAAATTTCTGCTAGCTCCGCCTGTTCCAGGTGCCCTGCTCGACTCCCAAGCAGCCGCTCGACGAGAAGCACCCCAACAAGGTCTTGTCGGAGCGCAAGTGGGGGACCCGGAATTTTTCAGCGCGCTGCCCGCCTATCGCGGAGCTGCATCCACTGGGTGTGCAGCGGGCGGCGCGCGTGCCTGCCTTCTTGCACGAGAAGCAGATCATCCACCGTGACGTCGCCGCCCGCAACGCGCCTATCGGGCAAGGACAACGAGGCCAAGATCAGGTCCATTTTGGGGTCTTTCGCACATTATGGGGGAGAGGGAGGGTCAATTTTTCCGGGGAGTTAAATTCCCACCTGACTCTGCTATCATGCCTCATCCTTCTTGGATTTCGATCCCGATCTGTATTGAAGCCTAGGGACTTTGGCCTGTCGCGCGCCGGTTCGCTGCATCAGGAGACCAAGCTGAAGAAGGTGCCGATCCGGCTACCTGGCCGTAGAGACGCTCACCAAGGGCATCTTACTCGCCCCGACCGACGTCTGGGCGTTCGGGGTGTTGATGTGGGAGGTGGGTAGCTCTGCCTCTCTCTTCTCTCTCTCTCTCTCTCTCTCTCTCTGGCTTAATCGCCTCTCTGTGTATTCAACAATTTGGCAAGACCCCCTATTGAGGACATTGATGACCCAAGATCAAGGAGGTCAGTGTGAAAATTGGGCAGCATTGTAGATTGTCATGGAGAAATTTTAGGGCATGATAGCAGAGATTATTTCTAAAATCCTCCCAATTTTCAGATCAAAGCGTTCGTGAAAGGGGGCGGGCTGATGCAGCCGGGGGGACACGTTCCCTGCCGAGCTGTGGGGGTGTTGCCAGAACTGCTGGGCAGAGATCCTGGAATAAAAGGTTCATTTTGGGATTTTAACTGGTTTAAACAGTTTACTAAAATCTAAACTCCTAGGCTGATGATGAAGGCTGAGTGTGCCCATCAGTCTGCGGGCTGCAGTACAGCGTCTCCGGCGGCTGGATTACAGCCGTGCTTCCCTGAAAATCTCTGCTAGCCTGCCCCTCTCCTCCTCATCAACAATCTCCTGCTATAGCCCTGCCCCTCTCCTCTCTTCCCTTTCAACAATCCTTTCTGCTAGCCTGCCCTCTCCTCCCCATCAAAATCTCGAGCCTGTCTCTCCTCCTCATCAACAATCTCTGCTAGCCTGCCCTCTCCTCTTCCTCAACAATCTCTGCTAGCCTGCCCTCTCCTCTTCCTCAACAACCCTGCTAGCCTGACCCGATTTAATAACATAATGTCAAAATTTGGGTTCTGTTCATGGGGGGGGTAGTTTTTACCAAACAATCCAAATTTTATGATTATTTAACACAGTTTGTAGAAATAAAAAAATATAAACATGCCTCTGCAAAAACGGAGACAAACCTTTACTGCCCTAACCCCGCTAACAGAACAGTACCCAAATCAGGCTATTACTTCAAATTTCTACATTGTGAAATTTTGAAATTATGAATTTTCGACACTTGAAATGTCTGCATTCCAGAAACGCTGGCCATGATCATCCAGCAGCTCAACTGTAACTTGACGGCGTTCCGCGCCGTCGAGCAGGAGCGGCGGAAGATTGTGATGGCCGAGCGGGAAGGCGGACGGGCTCGACGTTCCGGCTCCAGAAGCTGCCGCCCCTCCGCCGCCAAAAGCACGCCCTCGGATTGAGCATCAACTGGCCCAAACACCTGCCCAGGCCGCCCTTCAATGGCCCTTTAAAACTGGGAATCGCCTCCTCCGGGGTTGAGAGTTGCCTCACCCCTTCGCTATTCACCGTGTGTCTCCAACAATGTGTCGCTTATGTGCCCCTAAATTGTAGCCCCGTTGAGTGTTGATTTAATTTAATGTATAAATGGTTTCATGGTTTTTTGTGTTTTTCGCTTTTTTTGGTATATCGTTATTCGCAATGTGGTGTTTAGTTTTTACGGTCACCAACAATTCCGCACGAAACACACAAAATTTGGATACAAAAAAATTTAAAAAAACTTAAATCTTAAATTAAAAAAATTAAAAACGAAAAAAACGGCATTTAAAAATTTCCACCGAAAAAAATTAGAATGCCCCAAAAATAAAATTATAATTAGAGATCGCATCAAAAATATAAAAATTAAGCCAAATGCGGGCACCGGTTTCTCGTCACACAGCCGAAATATGCAACCAATAATGGATAGGGCTTGGGCTTGGGCTTAGTCTTGGCTTAACTTAGGCGGAGGCTTAGGCTCAGGCTTCAAATTCAAGCCAAATACAGCAAATCTAATGTCACATAAATTAGCATGCAAATCCCAAATATCAGCATGAAAAACGGCATTTCGAATCACCTTAACCAGATCAAAAATCAGCAAAACTTGTATGGAAAAATCGGGCCACAGTACCCTCAGGCCACCGTAACCAGCAGACTGTCGTGCCGGGCGTCGCTATGCCAAGGGGCGCGGGGCGCCGCCGCGTCGGGAAGCAAACAGCAGCGCGTTATTGTCCGCGGCTGACATTTGGGCTGAAAACTTACATGGTTATTGAGTTGGAAATTCAGTAATTAAATCGGTAGTAAATTCCGGAAAATTCGATGTTCCTAATGGAATTTAAAGTTTTAATTTAATTTGTAGAAATCAGTGTTTTTACCCTGCGCCAGCTGCGGTGTCCTCAATGGCCTTCTGCTGGGCGGATGCAAATTTCGGGACGATCATGGAAATCGGGAAGGCCAGCACGATGATGCCGCAGATGGTCGTGGTGGTAGCAACGAGTTTTCCGGCTGAAAATTGTTAATGAAACTTCCTGAATAATCTCTGCTAGCATGCCGTGCCTTTTTCAGGCTTAGCTTAGCTTAGGCTTAGCTTGGCTTAGGCTTAGGCTTAGGCTTAGGCTTAGCTTTCCTCACCTGTCGTAACCGGCTTAGCGTCCCCATATCCAACCGTGGCCATCGTGACCCTAAATCGTGCCCTGGCTACCGTAAGCTTTGACTTACACACACCACCAGCACCCGGCGGGATACTGTAGAAATCAGTGTTCGGTTCGTCCCGCTCGAGATAGTACATAATCGTTGAGAAAAACACGATTCCGGTGAGGAGAAACATCGACAACATCGACAACTCGGTGATGGAGGAGCGGAGGGTGTGGCCGAATGTCTGGAATTGAGGGCAGGCTAGCAGAGATTGTTGAGGAAGAGGAGAGGGCAGGCTAACAGAGATTGTTGAGGAAGAGGAGAGGGCAGGCTAGCAGAGATTGTTGAGGAAGAG